CGGTTAAACAGCATTTAGGTATAAATATAATTGCACTTTTGTGACTAGCCCTCAGTCTGTAACCTGCAAAATAAATTGTCAAATTTATACGCAACTTTTTCGGGGTGGCAGCACGGTCGCGGGTGTCATGGCGCCGTTCAAATTTCGTAGCGTTGATGTGTAAATAATTGTAACAATTAAATTAGGTATCTGGTAACAAATACGTGTGGGTATAGACGATTTGTTATACAATAAGTACAGAATTATGCAGTAAAATCCTAGAGGCTACTGTCCCTTTAACATACTAGTACTACCTACATACTACTTCTAGTACTAGCAACTAATTATGATTAGTAGATTTAATCATGCTCCTGAGTAGAATTAAATATTGTGATTAACTGAATCATGATTAAAGTTAATTACGCTTCGTGAAACAGTCAATTCAATTTAAGTACGGGAAGTTAATCATGATTAAATACTTAAGTACGCTTCGTGAAACCGGCCCCAGTATTCTTAATATGTGTAACACAGAGCCGATTATCACACACAATTGCATTGTCCATTATAATACACAAGGTCACATAGTGCATTGTGCTGCAACCGAAAATTTAGAGGGACATGCACATAACAACACAATCTACGCCTTCCGCAGATAGGATGCAATTTCGTCTCCTTCAATCATTTTTGACAACCGCCTTTTTTAAAGGACGTGTCCTTTTCTGTTTTAAAGGTCAAGAGTAAAAACGTGGGAGTTTCGAAAGTCCGTATACGAACACGGTCATCACTGCGTACAGTCTGATTTCTACCCTTGACGAACGCGAAGAATAAAAGTGCCACCCTCAAATTGAAGGTTAAAAGATCAGTGAGCCGATTACTCGCTGCATGTCAGCAGACACCGTGAAACTTCCACTCGATGCACGATAACGCACATCGTTAGTCATTGAAATCCAAAATCAACATTCAACATTTTGAACACAGGCGTGTCGATGAATGTGTTAGCTTACTACTTATGTTATTTGATTCATTCTATTTTAGTCTGCTACTCCTACAAATTATCATCCTTTACGTTCATCGTTAACGCTAACGCCGACAACGGA